CACTACCCTTATGAACCTGGAGTCACCAGCTGCCCTTGTTGCCACCTCCTCTGAATTATTCCAAGCATTGAGCTTGTTAGTATTTAGGGCTTTGATGCACCAGCCTCACACTGGCCCAGCTTCCTCTGTGAGTATGTCACATTTGGGTGTTTGTCCAACTAATTTAACTTCACTATACTACTGCACCTCTTGCCACTGAGCCCCAGTGGAAAAACAGAGGTCCAGTTTCCCAAATGGAGCTAGGCTGGAGTGATTCCTTATGGGAGTGATCACTCTAAGAGAGATCACTCCCAGAAAAATGACCCCTTTCTGTTGTGATCATACAGTGATCCTTTATCACTGATCAGTGATCACACTCTCAGTCTTAATTGTCAGCTAGTGAGTCCCAGAAGGTCACTGAAGCAGGAGAAATACTTTATCCTCTGGTAGTAAAAGAGCATCACTATCGTGCCATAGGGATTAGATTTATTAATCCTAATTTTGTGTCCCCAGAAACTTGGGTCTCTCATCAATCCTACATCAGCCAACAATGCACAGGTGCATGAAAAAGGCTCCTTCTGCAGCCACAGCTATGTAGGCAGGAGCTCTTTGCCTGCCACCAAGACAAGGCAGGCTCAAGAGGCAGGTATGGTGGCCTCAGAGAGGCGGGCAGGAGCAAGGCTTTATTAAGTCTGCACGCCCGGCGCACTGCCTCTTTTGACATGATTGTCACGCCACCCATCCACCCATGTAAGAATGAGAGTAACTGGTCACTTTGGGGCTGGATGGGAATTTTTGGTCTGCCCCTGAATTAGCTGTGAAGGGGCAGGTGAGTTTTCGCCTATCCTGTTCTTACTTGTTGGCAAGTTTTGTCAAAGATTTCTGGTTCAATCATCTTTTGTATTTTGGTCACACTGAGGGGGTAGTGCAGTGAGTTACAAGGGTCACCTGAGTTTTTAGGTGAGTTACAAGGGGCACCTGAGAGGGTTGTAAACTGGCCCACCTCCCAGCTTTGAAGATCAGGAGGTTTCAGTGCTGGGAGTGGGAGGAGCAAAGGGATCCATGGGGCCCAGACTGCCTAGAGGCAGGAGCCTTTGGTGGCCTGGTCTCTGGGGATACCCTGATGTAATGGGAACTCACCATTAGTAGGTCTGGGTCTTGGTTAAGGCTGGCCCCAGATTCAGATCATGATTCCACACTACCGTAGGTCCCTTTCATAAGGGGATGTTGGTTTTCAGTTAATAAAGTGTGGTCCAGTTTGCAACCCATCTCTTGTGTCTTGCCTCATTATTCCAGGCTGGCTGGGCAAAGTTCATTCTCCTTTCTCTTGACAGTACTGAACTCTACCCTATTTCTCTACAAAAACTTTCTAGTACTTTCTGTTTAATTAAGCAGCCAACTAAGGTCAAATATTTTTTATGCTATTTGGGGTAGATTTGTTGAATTTGTATTAGTGAAAGGAGAGGGCAAAGCCTCTAAACAACAATCAATACAATTTTAGAAAGGAAGTTTGTATTAAAAGTATTGTTCTAAGGGGTCCCATGGGTATGGGGTGCACTGTAGTTTAGATTGTACAGTATGTATTTTGTACTTTTGTATTTGTTTTGTTCTGAAAAAAAATTAAAGAAATTAAAAATCAAGTAACCAAACATCCCATGGTGACAACACCAGATGTTTCCCTGTCCTAAATCACACCTCTTGGCAAATGTACCTCTATGAGATGCTGCTACATAAACATTGTTTATCTAGGAAGTGGGGAATATGTGATCATGAAGATAGTGTCTGACTACAGATCCCATCTGGCTTGGCTAGTATTGTCAGTCAAGAGGGATTAAACTGTGTTGGAAGTAACATTCACCCCTTTGTGGTGTGTTGGATATACCATTTTGAGAGGCAGGTCTTAAAGGTCACTGTCAATTCAACAACATGTACCCAAGTCCACTCACTGATTTGGGATCATGTATGAAGGAAAAAAAAATAATCCCAACATGTAGTCCCACTTTTATGTCTGAAGAA